GGTCTCCCCGGAGCCTTCTCTTCTCCAGGCTGAACCACCCCAACTCTCTCAGCCTTTCTCCACAGCAGAGGTGTTCCACCCCCCCGATCATTTCCGTGTCCCTCCTCTGGACCCGCTCCAACAGGTCCGTGTCTTTCCCGTGCTGAGGACCCCAGAGGTGGAGGCAGTGCTCCAGGGGGGTCTCACCACAGCAGAGGGGCAGAATCCCCTCCCTCGCCCTGCTGGCCACGCTGCTTTGGCTGCAGCCCAGGATACGGTTGGCTTTCTGGGCCGCGAGCGCACGTTGCCGGCTCACGTCCTGTTTGCCACCCACGATTGTTCTTCTGTTGGAGCTGGGCAATGGGACCTACCACTCGCTCAGAAGAGCTTCTCACGTACCTCTGACAGGGTCCTTCTGGCCACCCTGCATGCATCGACATTCCGCAGCTCAGGAGCTGGCAGCCATTTCGGCTCGGGGCGGCGGCGAGAGCTCCTTCTGCTGGGCCGGCCGCGAGGGAGTTGGTCCTTTGCCAGCTGTGGACCTATTTTTGGTCCTGGCTGAAGGGATCCTTTCCAGGTTTAACTGCTGGCATCGGTTTGGCTGGCTGCTGTGCTGCGGACGGGACGCCACACCGGCGAGGCGTGCTATCTGCCTCTCTTTTCTGAGCTTCCCGTGCTAGCAGCGAGGTAGGCTGCAGAGGGGGAGCTTGTTGGGATGGCTCTGATGTCCCTGGAAGAGCAGTTCGGCTCAGCCAGCCTCTTCTGTGCCTCCTTGGGTAAACATCTGTATCTCCGTGCATACGTCCGTGCACGCATACATACCTACGTGTGAGTAGATGGGTTTGTGGCAGTCCCGGATGCCTTGCACAGAGCTAAGACCATACGGCGTGGGGAAGGTCGCTCCTGGGGACAGCAGATCCTTTGGCCGTGCTGCTGCCTCGTCCGAGTCCCCGCCGCCGCCGCGGCTGGGCTGGGCTGGCCTCAGGCCTGGTGCCGTGTGTCTCCCCAGGATCGAGAGCTACTCGTGCAAGATGGCTGGCGATGACAAGCACATGTTCAAGCAGTTCTGCCAGGAGGGCCAGCCGCACGTCCTGGAGGCCCTGTCGCCTCCTCAGACCACGGGGATCAGCCCCAGCAGGTACCACGGCCCGGGGGTATTTCTCTGCCGTGCTCCTCACCAGAGGCAGCAGCGTGGCTGCGGGTGGGGGGGTCGGGATTCGTGAAGGGAATGACCCTTCGTCGGTGGCTGGTCTCATTTCTGTGGCCCTGGGCTGGCTGCTCTGCTTGTTCATAGAATGATCCAAA